GCGTACATAGCTGATATGCAGGGTGAGGACACCCAGTTCATGATGCCATGCTTTGATTGTGTGTGTGTGTGTGTGTGTGCGTGTGTGCGTGTGTGTATGTGTAGAGTGCAGAGCCACCATCAGTTGGCCAGTTACCTCCTGGCCTGAAATCAGACCCGAGAGGAAAGGACACGGGAGGAAAGTAAGAGCATCCATTGCTGGAGAAGTCAACAGCTTTGCCTGAGACCCCAGAGCATCTGCCATGCCCTTTTCCCCTCTGCACAGGAGGGGAGCTGCTGGAAGTACCTCTCCAGAGGCCCATTTGAGGCCCAGGGGTGGTGGCAGAAGAGAAAGGGCCTGGCTTGGTTTCTATTTCCCCATGCATGGGAAGAGCTTAGGCCAGGCCCACTCAGAAGCTGCTTCCTCCTAGGGCCTGAGAAGCTGAGGGAGCCTCAGAGAAAAACTTTGGGAAACCCTTGCTCAGCTGGAAGGGTAGAGCCTAGGCCAGAAGAGATGTATAGTCCTGCAGACATGGTGGCCTCAGAGGTGTGATCAGCACCACTCCTCTATCACTTTCTTCCCTGGACCCACTCTCCCAAACTCCTGGTTCCCAGCTCTTACTTCTCTCACTTTCCAGCAGGAGAGAAATGCCAGGAGGCTGCTACATCCTTGCCAAGGAGTCTCCCTGTTCTCTGGCCAGAAAAATAGTAAATGGACATTTTATACATTAATATTAGAACCACTCATTGGCTGGGACCTCTTACGCATTGGTTTTTCCTGTGCCTACTAAAGGGTATAGGGCCATGCTCCTGGACGTGCAGATCCCTAGGTTCAGGCACCCCAGAAGACTTCTAATCATTCATATCAACCCCTAAGAGCAGAGGTGGGCAGCTGTCTTCCAGAGAGTGGCTAGATCTAGCAGTTAGTCGTTTAACGGTTCTCCCTGCCCGGAGTCTTGCCTCCCTCAAGTCCTGTTACCACATTGCAGGCATAATGATCTTTTTCAAAAACCAATTAGGTAAGCACACATTACATTACATAGATCTCTCAGCTAAGAGGAAGCAACAACACCCAATAGCAGTGGCACCCACATATTGGGTTCTAATACCATTCTTAAAAAATCAAAAAACAAAACAGGCCTTTTTGGAGAAATATCTCATTCCAGGACTGAGGCAAGAAATCTACAAAATGAGCCTGGAGTATCTTGTACTTTCAGAAAGTAAAGAGATGCTTTCAAAAAATGATAAACATATGTCAAAGGGATACAGGAGTCAAATGAAATAGCTCCCAGTGGACAAAGCTAGAAGAACTTGATCAATAAAATATATATAGTATTATTGGGAGACTTCAGCCAAGATGGAGGCATAGGTAGATTTACTTTGCCTCCTTGCACAACCAAAAGAAAGACAACAAATTTAAAAACAAAAAATAACCAGAACTGCCAGAAAATTGAACTGTATGGAAGTGTGATAACCAAGGAGTTAAAGAAAAAACATTCATCCAGACCAGTAGGAGGGGCAGTGATGGGCAGCCAGGTGGAGAGGACTTGTGGCAAGGCAGCAGCCAGAGGACTGGGGTGGGCGATGTGGCAACTGGTGGACTGGGCAGTCCCACATTTGCATTTGTATAAACTAGGAGAAACAACTGGGGAGTGAAACAGACCTCACAACCCAGGGTTCCAGCACAGAGAAATAAAGCCTCAAAACCTCTGACTGAAAAAACCTGTGGATGTTGTAGCAGTGGGAGAAACTCCCAGCCTCACAGGAGAGTCCGTTGAACAGACCTACAGGGTCCTAGAACGTACACAAACCCACCCACCCGGTAATCAGCCCCAGAAGGGCCCAATTTGCTTGTGGGTATCAGAAGAAGTGACTGAAAACCTGCTGAGAGCTGAACAAGCAGCATTGTTGCCTCTCTGACCCCTCCCGCACATACAGCACCAAAATGCAGTGATGTGGGTTCCCTTGCCCTGGTGAATACCTAATGCTCCACCCCTTACTATGTAACAGGTGTGCCAAGACAAAAAAAAAGTATGGCCCAAATGAGAGAACAGATCAAAGTTTCATAAAAAATACAACTAAATGATGAAGAATAGCCAACCTATCAGATGCAGAGTTCAAAATACTGGTAATCAGGATGCTCACAGAAATGGTTGAATATGGTCAAAAAATAGAGGAAAAAGTAAAGGCTATAGAAAGTGAAATAAAGGAAAATGTACAGGGAACCAACAGTGACGGGAAGGAAACTGGTACTCAAATCACCAGTTTACAGCAGAAGGAAGAAATAAACATTCAACTAGAACAGAATGAAGAAACAAGAATTCAAAAATATGAGGAGAGGCTCAGGAACCTCCAGGACATCTTTAAACATTCCAACATCCAAATCATAGGGGTGCCAGAAGAAGAGGAAAAGCAAGAAATTGAAAACTTATTTGAAAACATAATGGAGAACTTCCCTAATCTGGCAAATGAAATAGACTTCCAGGAAGTCCAGGAAGCTCAGAGAGTCCCAAAAAAGTTGGACCCAAGGAAGCACACACCAAGGCACATCATAATTACATTACCCAAGATCAAAGATAAGGAGAGAATCTTAAAAGCATCAAGAGGAAAAGAGAGAGTTACCTGCAAAGGAGTTCCCATAAGACTCTCAGCTGATTTCTCACAAGAAAACTTCGGACATGAAGGGACTGGCAAAAAGTATTCAAAGTGATGAAAAGCAAGGACCTACATCTGAGATTACTCTATTCAGCAAAGCTGTCATTTAGAATGGAAGGGCAGATAAAGTGCTTTTCAGATAAGGTCAAGTCAAAGGAGTTCATCACCAAGCCCTTGTTATATGAAATGTTAAAGGGACTTATCTAAGAAAAAGGAGATCAAAAATAAGAACAGTAAAATGATAACAAACTCACAACTAACAACAACCAAAGTAAAAAAAAAAAAAAACAACTAAGCAAAGAACTAGAACAGGAACTGATTCACAGAAATGGATATCACATGCAGGGTTACCAGCAGGGAGGGAGAGGAGGGAGAATGGGGAAAAGGTACAGGGAATAAGAAGCATAAATAGTAGGTACAAAATAGACAGGGAGTGGTTAAGAATAGTATAGGAAATGGAGAAGCCAAAGAACTTATATGTATGACCCATGGACATGAACTAAAGTGGGGGAATGATGGTGGGAGGAGGGGTACAGGGTGGAGAGGAATAAAGGGGAGAAAAAAATGGGACAACTGTAATAGCATAATCAATAAAACGTATTTAAAAAGAAGTTAAAAATACATATTGTATTATTGGATTATAACCCACAGTATACAATCTATGAATTTATACTGATATAAATCAATCAATCAATCAATCAATCAATCTCCCATGCAGAAAAATTCCAAATAATATCTGTAGATGCCTCATCCTTAAAAAAGTAGAACACAGCTCTCACTCCTTAAGTGTGGGCTGCACACAGTGACTGCTACGGTCTGAATGTGTCCCCCTCCAAATTCATATTCTGAAATCCTAACCCTCAATATCATAGTGTAGGACATGGGGCCTTTGGGAGGTGATGAGGTCATGAGGATGGTATCTCATGAAAGAGATTAGTGCCCTCGTAAAAGGGCCTCAGAGAACTTGCTTGCCCCTTCTACCATGTGAGGACACAAGAAGTCTACAATCTGGAAGACAGCCTATTGCATTGAAGAAAAACGTCCCCTCTGCAGGCCCCTGAAGAGGAGTGGGCCACTCTGCTGAGCCACCCCTCTGCTTTCACTCTGCTCCCCTCCCGTCTGGTGCTGCCTGGCTTCCTGCCTCAGCCACTGGCCTTGGATTTGCACAGGGTCTCTATGAACAGGGTCTCTGGGAAGAGTGGGAAACCTGAGGTGTCTCCACCTTGGGAGTAAAGCCAGAGAACAGAAGATGGTCCAGTGAACCTCTGAGAGGAAAGAACACTGAGAAAGACATGACACTTCAGACCTCACTCTCCTTTATTTTGGTAAAACCAGGGGTAAGCACTGCTCTTATTCCGTGGCATTTCTGGAGCTGGAATTCCCCTGAGGATACCCCAGACCTTCACGTCTGGCAAAGCAGATGCCCTTTCCTGCACATTCATCTCCACACCCAGGAATAAAACGTGCACACAGAGGAGAACTTTACCCAGGCAGCATTTTATTCTAATGAAGCTTGGAGGTGAACTTGCAGGTACTGAGGGCCACTTCCTCTGCATGGGGCGTGGGAAGGGAGGAAATGCAGAAGAAAGAGGCAGTGCAGGTTGGTGAGGCAGAGGGGCTGGGCCCGAGTGGGTGCTGATCCAGCTCTAAAGAAAACATGTTTCCAGGCCAGCCCTTGATCTGAACAAGCTGAGCCTGTCCCGGGGAAGAAAGGATGCAGACCTCAGAGGATGTGGATGAAGAGGATGATGGGCACTTGGCATGGACAGAATCCCCAAGAGCAGAACTCTTCCCAGAGATAATGACCACCTAAGCAGGTGAGTAGGAATTTGGGGGATCCGCTGGAAAAGTGCTGAGTACCAGTACCAGGAGAATTGCTTGAGTGTCTCAAGCAACTTTCTTGTGATGAAACTGAGGCTTCTGTGAAGGGACTCAATTATTCTTCTAACAGTTCTCTTTGCCTCTAGGCTTACCTACCTGAAGTGCTGCTGCTGTATGGTCTTTCCAAAAAACAATTAGGTATGCAGGCATACATTACCTAGCTCAGCCAAGAAGAAGCAAAACACCCCAGTAGCAACAGCACCCAGATCTTGGCAAAACCCCAGGCTATTGCCCCAAATTATGGGTCCTGATACACCTTAATGAGGTGGTTTGGTCCTCTCAACCATCCCCTCCCCATTTTAACCCAAGATCTTCTTTCTATTCCAGTTGCCTCCTTCTTTCCATTCCAGCTGCCTCTGTGAGACTGCAGAACTTTCCAAGGCAGACAGATGCCAGATGCCTTTGGAACAATTTTGAAGCAAGGAAAATTAAGGTGCAAAGTCACCTTGGAGTAGGGAGGACAAAGTGGCACTTCCTTGACTTTGACACACACTGGAGCTCCAAGTGTCAGGTTGGAAGCCAGTCCTATCATAGTTCTGATGGGACATAGGGACGTTTGCAGATGAAAAGGTACTGCTTGTCACAGGAAACATCATTCCATGACTGAAGTGAGGACATCTTTATATGGACACAGTGTTCATTGTTCCCAGTATTGTTGGGCTCACCAGGAATCCAGAACCTGCCAAAAGAGGGTGGGGAGAAAAACTTATTTCCAGTGAAGAAATGAGTAACTTCAACTTTAGCTTTGGTCCTAGGTGTTAATGTCACAAGTTTTTGAACCCAGGCCTGAAAGAAAGAGAATTGGTAAACTGTCAACCTCTAAGCCTGCAATCACCCACAAATTAGGTATGTGCACATACATTACTTAGCTCAGGCAAGAAGAAGCAACAACACCTCAATAGCAGCAGTGCCCAGACCTCTGCAAACACCAAGGCATCACCAGCCCATTTCTCTCAAGGCTCTACACAAGCCCACAGTACTGATACCTAGACTTAGAAGGGGCTTCCCACCTAAGCTGGCTGGAGAGCCATGCTGCCAAACCCCAGAGGATACAGAGAGGCTCACACATTGGCTGTGGGCCAATTAGTGGCAGAGATGAACTAGATTTTAGTTCAGTGCTCCTGCCACCCATGGACAGGGAAGAATCCCAAACTCAGTAGTCAGAGGGAAATATCACCCCACCCTTCTGCCCTGGACCTGACCCAAAAGAGTCAGGCTGGGAAGGAGGTCTCTGGGGAGCTTACTTCACACTCTGGACCTTGTTGAATGGAGTGTCATCTACCCAGTGCCAGACCCCCTCACTCCCTTTGGTCAGGCCGATCCAGTAGAAGAGTCCACCTGCTGTCCGGTACAGAAACTCCTGTAGGGAAGACAGGATGAGCAGAGACACTACCATCACTCCGAGTTAGAGCCTCTGTCTCTCTGGGTGTTCTTCGCCTGCCCTCAGTGACAGCCTCTGAACCCACAGGCACTCTATGCACAGTGACCTTTCTCAAGCTTCTTCCTGTCCCTGCTCATAGCCCAGAGTGCATCTTCCAAATTCTGATTTGTCTCTGCCCTGCAACTAACAGACTCAGGACTTAGGCTTTTCTGCCCTCAGGAAGCAGGTGCTGGAGCACAAGACAAATTAGCCAAAGCCCAGAGCAAGGAGCCCAGGAGAATGGCCAAATACTAATATGTAAATTTAGTGAGCACTTAAGATGTACAAGAAACTATATAGTTATACAGCTTTTACTTTTTTTTAGGTAGTTTCTATTATTACTTGTGTTTCCTCTAGGACTAGTTAGAGATGGGGTTGGGACTCTCCTCTGACCCCAGAGCCCATGCTCTTACCTGCCCTGCTAGCGCACCTCCCAGGTGGAAGGGGCTTGCTTGTTCAATTTTCTGCCTCAGCAGGTAGGAGATCTCTTGGGTGGTGTAGTGTTATTAATTACAATTATTTCTGTTTCCTGGGCACTCAGGAAGATGGTACCTCCCTGCTCTCTTTGAAGCTGGGAGTATTAAGTCATTTGCTTTGCAAATGAAATGTGAGCAGAGAAGATACCTGTTATTTCCAGGCAGAGACAGCACACAGTTTGTTGTATTTCCTTTTCCTGCCTCAGCAATTGTGGAAACATACACAAAATGGAGTCTCCTTTGGCCTAGATCCTTCAGTAACCACAATGAGCAAAACCCCTTATTGGCCCTTGCTAAACACATAGTAAACGTGAGAAGTAATCCTTCATTTTTAGGTCACTGATATTTGGGAATTTTTGTCACTGCCACATAATCTTGCCCATTTTAGCTAATACAGCTACTAATATACCTCCTTCCTGGAGCCCACAGAAACAGCACTCACCTGTTCGCTCTCTGAGGTCACGGAGGTCAGGTGTGAATTCCTGGACATGCAGAACTGCTGGGCGCTATACCAGGTCTTTGGGACACGGGAAAAGTAATAGAAGTTCCCCCTGAAATACTTCCAGCCTTGAGAAACCGCCTGTAGAATGTCATCTGGAAAACAAGGGTGAAAGGTGAGCACTGCTATTCCTGTGTCCTCTGGGTGCCGGCTAGGTGGGGGCACTTGAGTGGGACCCCAGAGACAGCAGTGGATGGGGCTGGGCTCTAGGGTCCTTGCGGACACTCTCTCAGATCCTGAAAGTCCAACTGAGATCAGTAGAGTCTCTGGGCTCAGAGATGATGGATCAAGAATCCGTCTCTTATGACAGAAAAGCAATTCTCCACTGGTGATCACATGTGGCTGAGACCCTGGGCTCTGGGTAAGAAACTTAATGAAAAATGGCTGGGTTTGGGCCAGGACAGAGACTCCCTAATGCTCTTATATTCCGTGCCTTTGTGTGTGAGCCAAAGCTGCTTCCTGATCCTTTTTCTCCTGAAAAGCCTCTAAGTCCTCCTCAACCCCAATGCTGAGCCCTCTCTTCTAAGCTCTCCGGCCATGTCTGCCCTGCTCCTCTCCCACTTCCCTCCACACACACCAGCCCAATGTCCTCATGCCTGAGACCAGCAAGGTCCCGTGGGCCACTTGCAATATTCTTTTATGAGCCACTTACTTTGCTGTTTGAGCAACTTGTTGATATTTTCCAAACTGCTCTGGAGTCCACGGACCTTTGCATTTAAAGCACTGGCTTTATCCAAATCTATCTTTAACTCTGGGATTTGAGCATTTAAATTATAGACTTCCTCCCAACTTCTTGTTAACATCTGGATTTGTGCATCGGCTTCCTTCATACCAGTTTCCAACTTCTGGATCTGAGCATGCACATGATCCAGGCTAGCATTCACCATCTGGACCTGAATGCCAGCTGCTTCCACGCTGCCTCTGTTCCTCTTAATTTCAGAACTCAAGGTGCTGATGTTATCCACACGACCTTCCAGCAACTGGGCATTGTTCTTTACATCTGACAGTGTGCTCATAAACCAGGGATCTGGATTTGAGAAAGTCAAGAAGTTGGTCAAGGAGATCCCTAGTGATGGAAGTAGGAATGTTATCACAGCAATAAAAGATAAGGAAAGGAGGGGATAGGCTCAAGCTTCCCAAAGACTCAACCCAAGGATCCGTTGCCAACCCAACATTCATTCATAATCTATATATTTATTCAACATGTGTTGGCACCTACCATATGCCAGGAGTTCTGGTAGATGCATGTAATGCAAAGATTGATTAACACAGGCTTCTTATTAGAGGACCTCACAGGCAAACAGAAGCAGGGATTATAACCCAGTCCTAAATTTTCTTTGCATGTTCAGGGCACATATGGTAAAGAAATGCCCTCAACCACCCTTTTGGTACCCTCCCTGCATCCCTTGGGCCTTATCATTTGATTCCCAGCACCCCACTTTCAGAGACTCCTGCATCGACCATCTGTGAGAGCAGCACCACCCCTCCCACATCTGTCCACAGGCTCTTCATGACTGTGGAGGGAGCCAGCCATGCAGACTTCTAATCTGGAAGTGACTTCTCCAGAGAACACAGAAAAGGAGAATTATGAAACCATTTCTCCTTTTCCCCTATGCCTCCCACTGTCACACTCTGATCAGGACACAAATTTGGTGACAGAAAGGAGACCAAAAGTAAACCAAGAGGGATCCAAGCAGTGGAGACTCGGCTTAGAGACTCCAAGTCTGAGATCAAATATGTCCTGAAGCCAGGAAGGGAGAAGACAGGTGTTCCCCTCCTCTGCCTTCTGCAGAGCTGGTGGAAGATGAAGGCCTTACCAGCACCAGAGGCTATGAGCCTCATCAAAGCTGGAAGAAGGAGAAAGTCACACGTTCAGCAAAGAAGTAGGAAGCCTCTTTTAACTTAATTTTCATGGGAACAGGAGAATGAAGAGAGCACAAAGTGGTCCTGTGCCTCTTCTAGGCCACAGGCCTCCTGGTGAGGGGAGGAACCATGGAGACTTGGCTTTTGGTCAGGTTCTCCATTAGTCAGTTGGAGCTGAAGATACAGTTAGGACTCCACCCTTTGTGACATCAGGAAACATCTCACTCACTGTTGGGAGCTGCCCATAGGCTCTGGATCAAAGGGACACAGAGCTCAGAGAGGGAGGAGAAAAATGACATGAGATAAAGAAATAGGTGAACATTTTCTTTGAGCGCAAGCATGCAAGTGCTGATCTGATTCAGAGAAACCTCCCTGCAATTGGGAAAGAAAGAGCAGAAGCTTGTTTTACTGAGGACATGGACCCTGTGACTGCACATGGAAAGAGGCAAATGAAATGAGGCAAATGAAAAAGCCTTTGGTGGGAGAGATCGCTGGAAAGCAGGGAAGAGAGGGTGTGGATGTTGAGGAAGCTGGCTGGCTCTGGAGAAGGACCAGGCCCAGATGACTAAGCCAGAGGACTCACAGAGAATGGCCTGCAGCAGAACAGAGGCGAGCAGGACCAGCGTCAGGATGATGACTGCAGCACGGACTGAGCAATGCTTCCTCGAAACCAGAGATGAACCCATCTTGGGGGAAGGCTCTGTTGAAAGAAGCAGAGAACATTTGTTGAAGCACCAGCATGTGGTGGATTTGGGCACAGAGAACTGAGAAGGCTCTGAGCAGGGACTGGTGCTTGCCTCGGGGCCAGAGGGAGATATTCTGTTTGTCTACAGTGAAGTGCGCGTCAGGGACCTCACTCTCTGCAGCCTTCATCCTGCGCACTCACCCCTACCGCACAGATGCTTCTGGCTATTTGCTTCCCCAAGGAACTTTTATACAGAGGAAATGGGAAGTGAGTCCCACAAAAGGTCATTGTATAATTCCCCAAGTTCCATATTCCTGACTTAGACACCATGCCTCTTCTAGGCCACAGGCATGTCTGAGCTTTTAGGAAGAGGCCACTTGCCTTCTTCTTTCAAGGGTCTATGACATGAACACTTTAACCATCTTGTCCCAAGGCTATCCTACTCTTTAATTCTCTCATCCCTCATCCATCCTCCCATCCATTATTCCCACAAATACATACTGACTACCTTCTGAGTACCAGGCACTGCCTGGTACTTGGACACAAAGGGAATAAATCAGTCTGTGCATTCAAGCACCTCACAGTCTGAAAGGAAAGACAGACCTGAGCAAATAAATTAAAATACAGGGTGATGATTATAACAATACAAGAAAGGAACCATAGTTGAAAGGAAATACAGAGAAAGGAGTAATGATAAAAAGTTCCAGGTAGAGGGACTAGCATATTAAAAGTATAGAGGCATAAGACAGCATGGAGTGCCTGGCAAACTGTAAGTAGTTGGGTGGTGGTGGAGTATGAAGCCTATGACAGGAGTGCAGAGACAATGGGGCTAAAGAGGCACCTAAGGTCAGATCATGAGGATCCTTTTGGATTATGTTAACAAGCTTGAACTCTGGCTTATGGGTGATAAGGAGCCAATGAAATACTTCAGGCAGGAGAGAGAAGGACAGGACATTGTAGAAAGATCATTCTGACCATGGTAAGAAGTGTAAATTAGGGTGTGGAAAGCCCACAAGCAGGGAGATCAGTAAGGAAACCACTGTGATAATATCTAGTTTGTTATTAAGGCATCTTAGATGATACATATATACCCTTTTATAAAATGGGGCTTGGACATGCAAAATGTTGATGTAAGACTTGGGTTCTCCTCCCTGCTTCCTGCACCTGTGAGCTTCTCAAACTGGGGAGGCTCAGCAACATCAGACCAGAAACTGCTCTTTCATATGTAGGAGTTTTTCAGTGCAGAGAGGAGCTGATTTGGGGTTCAGTGAAGGACTAATATTTCTCCTGAGCAACTTTTCATGTTTTGAGGTCTGCCAAATCTGAGAAACATTGTACATAACAGATTCTATGCAAATACTTCTTGGAAAGCAGTGAAGAGGTGAAGGAAGAGAGGAAGGGAAAGAGGAAAGGAAAAAGGAAAGGAAGTCAACTCAGATAACTGGATGGATGGAAGACTAATGAATGGATAGATGATAAATGGACAATCAAAAGGTGGATGGATGGGTGGACAGATGAATGTATGGAAGGTTGACTAGATGGGTGGATGGATGGATGTACTTATCCTTTGATTATGTACCAATCAATAGATGGATACATGATAGATAAATGAATGGAAGAATTGGTGGCTGATGTTCCTCAAGTCTGAAACCTACAGTCTGTGGACTTGGATCTGTGTTCCAAAAGCTACCGCTTCTTTCCTTTGCCTCCAGAAGTTTTCATTCATTTCCACAGCAAAGGCATGAGGGAAGTGTGATTGATGCCTTACCCAAAATGCAAGAAAAATTCTGGCCATGGAACTAGAAAGCTAGCCTAGCCTTGCTGAGGCTGAGCCAGTAGAGCTGCATGACAGAATGGTGTCAGGGACAAGAGCTGGAAATGAGCAGGGCCATGGACAGAACTGCCTACATTTTCAAAGGATATTTGAGAAGGTCTTACCTCCCTGCTCAGCCCAGGCCTGTCTGGCCAACCCATTGTTCTTCCAGGCCCCAGACCTCAGGCTGGAGCTGCTTCTCTGACTGGATGAGAGAACTCTAAACCACACTTCCCAAGTGCTGGAAAGGAAGCTGGATCACAAGGATGGTGTCCCATTCATCCTATCTTATCTCTTCCCTACCTGTATTCAGTCTATAGCTTCCAGGACTGCTATCTGTCCAACCCTTTGACATTAGGTAATCACACAAACTGAAGGCCTCATGCTAACTCACTGCCTGTCTCTGAACACTTATAACTGTACCCATTTTCTTCAGGCTGCTTATCTAGTGGCTGAATCTTTGTTCTCCCAGTTAGAACATTCTGCTCCTGGATTCTCACACTTGGTACTCAGTCTAACTCCAGAGTCACCTCAGCCCGTCTGCTCCTGGCTCCTTGGCCCTACCTTCACAACCTGTCATAGTTCAGGGCCTGGGAATGGAAAAAATCCAAGTTACTCAAGACCCTGATAGAAGGTGACTTGGGGTCCAGGTCTCCTCCTGAGGCATTTAAGGGAGGGAAGTGGACATACAACCCAAACTTGGGAACATAAGGCCCCTTCCCTCTTTATCAAAAAGTTGACCTTTCCCAAACTTCTGCTGGTTGGTAGCATGAGCCATTAATGGAACATTCATATGCCCTCTCAGTGGTCCCAGGAAAGGATCCAGGAGCTTCAACACACCAGTACCCAATGCAGAAGAAGGGGCTGGGGTTGGGGAGCGTTTATGCAAGTGATGGACATGGAAGCCTCCGATAGCTGTTCTCCTGATCACTGGGCAAAGGGTTGATCCAGCACAAGGAAGTTAAACATACAGCAACCAGAATCCTGGCTGTGGGCCCTGTGGGATTTCAGAGGCAGTAGGTATAAAAGTCCCATATGAAGTTTCATTTCCTACTTGCAGGGAAAGAGTGAATCACATGCTAGTTTCCTGTGACCACGCTCATTTGCAGGTGTTCACGGAGCGTGAGCCTCCCTCCTGTGCATCCCTCTGAGTGCTCTACCAGGCCCCTGGCTGGACAGCCTGGAAGGAGCAAGGACAGAGCAGGAGGCAAGTGCCTCAGCCCTGCTTTACAGCCAGCCGTGTGAATAGTTCTCCTGGACATTCAGGAGATGCCAGGTCTTCCAAACAGAGAAGGAACTTTGGGACAGACCAGGAGTGACCAGAAATCATTGCTGTACTGAGAGAAAAGGAAGCCCATAGTCATTTTTCTGTTTCTTCACTGGCCATGCTCCTGAGGTTCTAAGATCTTCTCTGGATAAGGGTGGAGGAAGGAAATAGTTGGGCCACTTTCCCCCCTTCTCCAGTTGGGACCCACCTTATACTTCAAGGTGGACCATGGGCATATTCAGTGGGAGCAGAAAAGAGATAAAGCAGCTAGAGTGGACAACAGACCAGGGAGAGAAGAAAAGGGGGAGGAGCAGAGGGGAGAGGGAAGAATAACTATGAAATGAGAGGGGAGCCATCACAGCTGGTCAGGCTGGTCCACAGGTCTCAGAGAAGACTCGTGCATATAATGTGATATGGGGGGTTTGACCAGCAGACCCCAGATAATTGAAAGATTCTATACCACACTCTGGCTCTTTGCCCTGGGAACACCAGATAGACAGAGACACCAAGAAGAAAAGAGTGGTCAGTAGGATAATTCATCCGCCCATTCCTCTAGAATGCTGGCTCTGCCCCAGGAGCAAGGAGAACGGCAACCATAGACCTTGCCTTGAGAAATAGTGTTCCTCTTGTTGGAAAAGAATTTCTTTTTCTTTTTTAATTCTAGGGAGAAGGGAAGACTGCCCCAAGATTGAAAAGGACCAAGGACAGTGTAGGAGGCCACCCAAACTTAATATGGTGAGAAAGTGTGGTAGGCAGGGTGATGACCACTGAGAAGTCCACATTCTAATATCCAGAACCTGAAAGTAATTGAGTTACTTAGCAAAGCAGAATGAAGGTTGCTACTCAGCTGACTTTAAGATAGGGAAATTATCCTGTATTACCTGAATGGGCCCAATGGAACAGTCCTTGATGTAAAGCAGGAGGCAGATGACTCAGTGTCAGTGATGGAATGTGATAAAATCTCAACTTGCAGATGCTGGCTATGAGCCCAAAAATGTGGGGGTTGAAAAAGAGGAATGGTTTCTCAAATGGAGGGGATTCTGGCTATCAGAAATGAGCACGCAGCCCTGGCTAGTGTAGCTCAGTGTGTTGGGCGTCATTGCCCTGAGAACCAAAAGATCACCAGTTTAATTCCTGGTCAGGGCACATGCCTGGCTTTCAAGCCAGGTCTCCAGTTGGGGGTGAGCAAGAGGCAACTAGTTGATACATCTCTTGCACATTGATGTTTCTCTCCCTTTTTTTCTCCCTCCCTTCCCCCTCTCTAAAAATAAATAAAATCTTTTTTTAAGGCATGCCTAAGAAAATGAATTGGCATTTAGAATATGCTCCACCTAGATGTTGTGAATACCAGATTTCAAATATTCCAAGCAAGGAAGACTTTTCTGCCACCTGGAGCAAGGTACAGTTTTGGGGGTGTAGGTAAGGGTGAGAAGGAAAGAAGGGAAGGGAATGAGACAAAAAGTCAAGTGCACCCCCTCCACCATCTCATACTTCCAAGGCTAAGCTTAACCTGAGGAAGGGGAGAAAAGGTATCGCACTAAACCTGTGTATTGTTTTGGGTAATATGGCATTTAACTATGTTGATTCCTCCAATCTGTGAGCAATGGCTATCTTTCCATTTCTTTGTGTATTTTTCAATTCCCTTCAACAATATCTTATATTTTTCAGTGTATAGGTCTTTCACATCTTTGTTAAGTTTATTTCTAGGTATTTTATACTTTTTATTGCAACAGTGGCTGTTTGGGGCCTCTTGCTCTCCTTTTTAATGGGAACGTTTGTTGGGTGATCCTGTTCCTGTTCTACATGTTGGAGATGAGTGTGTGGCACATAGGCAAGGAGGGCACAGACCGCTTCTTTGCTCCATAGGTCTCCAGAGTAAAAGGAGCTATGTCCAGATCCGAGGTAAAATACCAGATTCTGGGTTTGTGGTATGACACCCTGACTGGGTGTCTAGGGCAGGAGTGAGTGCATTTTGCAAGTGGGAGGGTCTTGAATAATCATGTCCAAGAGGAGCAGTCTGTGTTAAATGATGGAATGATGAGAAAAATGTGACACATACAAACAATGTGTATTATTCAGCCTTAAAAATGAAGAAAATTTTGACACAT